TTTTTTTTTTTTTTTTGAGACGGAGTTTCACTTTTGTTACCCAGGCTGGAGTGCAATGGCACAATCTCGGCTCACCGCAACCTCCGCTTCCTGGGTTCAGGCAATTCTCCTGCCTCAGCCTCCTGAGTAGCTGGGATTACAGGCACGCACCACCATGCCCAGCTAATTTTTTGTATTTTTAGTAGAGACGGGGTTTCACCATGTTGACCAGGATGGTCTCGATCTCTTGACCTCGTGATCCACCTGCCTCGGCCTCCCAAAGTGCTGGGATTACAGGCTTGAGCCACCGCGCCTGGCTCTTCCACTTTCTTTTTTTCTTTTTGTGAGACAGAGTCTTACTCTGTTACCCAGGCTGAAGTGCAGTGGTGCAATCTCAGCTCACTGAAACTTCTGCCTCCTGGGTTCAAGCAATTCTCATGGTTCAGCCTCCCGAGTTCCTGGGATTATAGGTGTGTGCCACCATGCCTGGCTAATTATTTGTATTAGTAGAGATGGGGTTTCGCCAAGTTGGCCAGTCTGATCTTGAACTCCTGACTGCAGGTGATCCACCCGCCTTGGCCTCCCAAAGTGCTGGGATTAGAGGCGTGAGCCACTGCCCTGGCCCCCAGCTTCTTTCACTTGTGACTAAAAGTCCTAACTACCAAAAGTTCTCAGTGCCAAAATGCTAGATGCCACCTCTGTGTCCACAACCCTCACCCCCAACAACCAGCCCCACTCACTTTGTGATTTCCTCCAAGGCTGCCTCTGGTAAGGCCAGCATCTCTACCAGCTGGGACAGGATCTCAAAGAGCAGCGTGTGGGGGTTGTGGGGAGCCATGTTCATCAGGGTGTTCTGTTCTGGAGACATGGGACAGTGGCTGCCATTACCATTGGGCAGTCCTGAATGCCCTCTCCTCTCCCCACAACCAGCCTCCCAGCCCCTCCTCTAGTTCTGACTACCCTGGGCACATCCCTGCTCACCCACAGAGCAGAAGAAGCGCCTGGTGTCTGTCATCACAGCCAAGAAGTCTTTGAAGTCCACATGACCATCTCCTGTGGAGGCCAGAGGAGTGACTGGGTTGGCAGGGACCTTCCGGAGCAGGTCCATGCATTGCAGCCCAGGTGTGCTTATTAGAAGTCACTCGCTGGGTCTGATTATCAAAGCAGTGCATACTCAACGCAGAAAACGGGAGACATAGCAAAGTAGAAGCTGAAAGTTAAAATCTTCTGAATAGGGCTGGGTGTGGTGGCTCACACCTGTAATCTTAGCACTTTGGGAGGCCAAGGCGGGAGGATTGCTTGAGCCCAGGAGTTCGAGACCAGCCTGGGCAACATAGTGAGACCTCATCTCTACCAAAAATATAAAAATTAGCTGGGTGTGGTGGCATGTGCCTGTAGCCTCAGCTACTTGGGAGGCTCAGGTGGAAGGATTTCCTGAGCCTAGGAGGTCAAGGCTACAGTGAGATGTGATTGTGCCACTGCACTCCAGCCTGGGCAACAGAGGTAGATGCTGTCTCAAAATAAAACCAAATCTCTGGATTAGAAGTTACTGGAAGTTGCATCCTAGAGGAAGCAGTGTTGGCTCATACTCCAGGTCCACCACTTACTACCTGTGTGACCTTGGCAAGATCTCTTACCCCCTCTAAGCTTTAGTTCTCTCACCACTAGGGAGAGAATAATAATATCAACCTCTGAGATAAAAGGAGGCAAAGCACTTAGAACAGCACCATGCATGGCCAGGCGCGGTGGTTCATGCTTGTACTCCCAGCACTTTGGGAGGCTGAGGCAGGCGGGATCATGAGGTCAAGAGATTGAGACCCTCCTAGCCAACATGGTGAAATCCTGTCTCTACTGAAATACAAAAATTGGCTGGGCGTGGTGGCAGGTGCCTGTAGTCCCAGCTACTCGAGAGGCTGAGTCAGGAGAATTGCTGGAAGCCAGGAGGCAGAGGTTGCCGTGAGCCAAGATCGGGCCCCGGACCTTAAGCTTAGCGCCTGGTGACGGAGTGAGACTCAGTGTCGAGGAAAAAAAAAAAAAAAAAAAAGAACAGCATCATGCATATAACACATGCTCAATAAATGTCAATGACTGATATTACCTTATGCCAGTTGCTGCATAGAACAGGTACCCATAAGATTCCCACCTTGGCCTTCAAGGCCTTGCAGGAGCTGCCTGTGGCCTGACTCCAGCCTTACTTAGTGCCAGTCTCCCCCAGCACTAACCTGCTTCCCCAGCCATCTTCTTCCCCGCCCTGGGCCTTTGTACATGCTGCTTCCTTCCCTGTCCTAGAATTCCTCCACCACCCTCCAACTCCACCTTCCGAGTAGCTGTGATTACCATGCCCAGCTAATTTTTGCATTTTTAGTAGAGATGGGGTTTCACCATGTTGGCCAGGCTGGTCTCCAACTCCCGACTTCAGGTGATCCACCCGCCTCAGCCTCCCAAAGTGCTGGATTACAGGTGAGAGCCACGGTGCCTGGCCCCCTTCTAAGCCATTTTAAGTCCCGCTTCCACTGGTGCCTCTTTCTTTTGTGTCAGCCCTCGCCTAATGGCAGTAGCTGTTTCTGTGAGCCCTTCCAGGGCAGGATCTCATGCATCTTATGCATCTCCTTATCCTCTGTGCCCAGCACGGGGATGGGCCCACAGAAGACATTAGTAAGTATTTAGTAGATAAAAATGATACTAGCAGCTAATGCAGCCAGCTGCGGTGGTTCACGTCTGTAATCCTAGCCCTTTGGGAGGCTGAAGCGGCCAGACCACTTGAGGCCAGTTCAGGACAAGCCTGGCCAACATGGTGAAACTCTGTCTCTACTAAAAATACAAAACTTAGCCGGACGTGGTGTTGCGCCCCTGTAGTCCCAGTTACACGGGAGGCTGAGGCAGGAGAATCGCTTGAACCTGGGAGGTGGAGGTTGTAGTGAGCCAAGATCATGCTACTGCACTCCAGCCTGGGTGACAGAGCAAGACTCTGTCTCAAAAACAAAGAAACACAATTTTTTTTTTTTTTTTTTTTTTTTTGAGACAAAATATCTCTCTTGTTACCCAGGCTGGAGTGCAATGGCGCGATCTCGGCTCACCGCAACCTCCGCCTCCTGGGTTCAGGCAATTCTCCTGCCTCAGCCTCCTGAGTAGCTGGGATTACAGGCACGCGCCACCATGCCCAGCTAATTTTTTGTATTTTTAGTAGAGACGGGGTTTCACCATGTTGACCAGGATGGTCTCGATCTCTTGACCTCTCGTGATCTACCCGCCTCGGCCTCCCAAAGTGCTGGGATTACAGGCACAATTTTTTTTAAAAAAGCAAAAAACAAAAAAAAAAAATTGTTAAGAATTTCTATGATGTTAGGCATGGTGGCTCACACCTGTAATCCCAGCACTTTGGGAGGCCAAGGCGGGTAGATCATGAGGTCAGGAGTTCAAGATCAGCCTGGCCAAGATGGTGAAACCCCTTCTCTACTAAAACTACAAAAATTAGTCAGCCGTGGTGGCAGGTGCCTGTAACCCCAGCTACTCAGAAGGCTGAGGTAGGAGAATCACTTGAACTTGGGCAGTAGAGGTTGCAGTGAGCCAAGATCTGCACTCCAGCCTGGGTGACAGAGTGAGACTTTGTCTCAGGAAAAAAAAAAAGAATTCTATGATGTTCGGCATAGTAGCTCACACCTGTAATCCCAGCACTTCAAGAGGCTGAGGTGGGTGGATCTCTTGAATCCAGGAGTTTGAGACCAGCCTGGGCAACGAAGCAAGACCCTATCTCTACAAAAACCAAAAAATTAGCCCGGCATGGTAGTATGCCTATAGTTCCAGCTACTCAGGAGGCTGAGGTGGCAGGATTGCTTGAGCCTAGGAGGTCGAGGCTGTGGTGAGCCAGGATCACAGCATTGCACTCAGCCTGAGCAGCAGAATGAGACCCCGTCTCAAACAACAAGAACAACAAAGGAATTTCTAGATTGTGACAGCAGGGCATGACACCAAGCACGGGACCCTCCCGGTGTGGCACCCATGCGGCAGCACAGCTCTCATGCCTGTGAAGCAGGCCCTGCCTGGGACGCAGAGTGGAGCCCTCTGCCACTCACCATTGACATCAGCACTCATCAGGGCGTCCTTCACCTGGGCCGGCGTCACAGAGAAGCCCACCAGGAGCAGGATATTCTTCAGGCTCTGTGCGTCCACCTCACCAGGGCCATTGAAGATCTCAAAGTAGCTGCGGAAGGCTGTGGGGAGGGCAGGGTTATGTGGGGTGGGGGCATTTCTTGTTTCCCCCATTCATCCCATCACCCCAACCACCCTCCTGCCAGCCTCCTCTACCATCAAGAGTGAAAATAAAGGAGTTGGGCATGGTGGCTCATGCCTGTAATCCTAGCACTTTGGGAGGCCGAGGTGGGCAGATCACCTGAGGCCAGGAGTTCAAGACCAGCCTGGCCAACATGGCAAAACCCTGTCTCTACTAAAAATACAAAAATTAGCTGGGCCTGGTGGTGTGTATCTGTTGTCCCAGCTACTTGGGAGGCTGAGAATGCTTATTCCTGTTGTAGCGATGGGGAAACTGAGGCTCAGAGGTTAGGTGACTGAACAGTCTTTCTGACTAAGTCTGTGCCCTGCACCTTGCTCACCTATCTGGATGGACATGGTCGCCAGGATTGTGCATTGTGTGGATCACAGCAGAGGATGGGAAGGGTCTGAGAATGTCCCAAAGCAGCACTAACTGATACAAAGGTCATGTACTGGTCAGATCGTGTGGTGTCTGGTTTCTCAGCCCATGGCAAAATGTGGGTTGAAGTCAACAGAGAGTCTTAGCTCTGGCAGGAGTGCAATGGTGTGATCATGGCTCACTGTATCCTCCATCTCCTGGGCTCGAGGGATCCTACTGTCTGAGCCTCCCCAATAGCTGGGACTACAGGTGCACACCACCATGCCCAGCTTTTTTTTAAAAATTATTTTTATTTTATTATTTTATTTTTTTTGAGAAGGAGTCTTGCTCCGTCACCCAGACTGGAGTGCAGTGGTGGGATCTCAGCTCACTGCAACCTCTGCCTCCAGGTTCACGTGATTCTCCTCCCTCAACCCCCTGAGTACCAGCGTTTTTTATTTTTATTTTTAGTAAAGATGGGGTCTCCCTGTGTTGCTCCGGCTGGGGTTGAAATCCTAGGCTCAAGCGATCCTCCTGCTTCGGCCTCCCAAAGGGCTGGAGTTACAGGCATGAGCCACCGTGCCCGGCCTGGCTTTGCCATTTAATAAGCTGGGTGGCTTTTATGTTGAAGCCCCAACTCCTAGTACTTCCAAATGTGACCGTGTTTGAAGACGGGGCCTTTAAATAGGTGATTAGGTTAAAAAGAGGCCTTTAGGGTGGGTCCTAATCCAATCCAACCGGTGTCCTTATACAAAAAAGAAATTTGGGCTAGGTGATGGCTTGTGCCTGTAATCCCAGCACTTTTGGAAGCCGAGGCGGTAGAATCACTTGAGCCCAGGTGTCCGAAACCAGCCTGGGCAACACAAGACACTCTGTCTCTAAAAAATTTTAGAAATTAGCCAGGCACAGTGGCACGTGCCTGCAGTCCCAGCCACTCAGGAGGCTGAGGTGGGAGGATTATTTGAGCCCTGGAGGTGGAGGCTGCAGTGATGTGGGATTGCACCACTGCATTCCAGCCTGGGTGACAGAGCAAGACCCTGTCTCAAAAGAATAAATAAATACATAAATTAAAAAAATAGGCCAGGTGCAGTGGCTCACACTGTAATCCTAGCACGTTGGGAGGCCGAGGTGGGAGGATCACAAGGTCAGGAGTTCAAGACCAGCCTGACCAACATGGTGAAGCCTCTCTTCTAAAAACACAAAAATTACCCAGGTGTGGTGGCGCGCACCTGTAATCCCAGCTACTCAGAAGGCTGAGGCAGGACAATCACTTGAACCCAGGAAGGGGAGGCTGCAGTCAGCTGAGATCACACCACTGCACTCTAGCCTGGGCAATAGATCAAGACTCCATCTCAAAAAAAAAATAAATACATAAACAAAAATTAATGCAAATTTGGACACACGAAAAGATACCAGGGTTGCGCATTCACAGAGGCAAGACCACATGAGGACAGTGAGAACACAGCTGTCTGCAAGCCACGCAGGAAGGCCACAGAAGAAACCGACCTGATCTTGGACTTCACTCCAGAACTGTGACAAAATAAGTGTCTGCTGTTTCAGCCACTCAGTCTGCAGTCATTTGTTATGGCAGCCCACGCTGACTGGGAGGGCTGCCATGGGTAAGTTGCTGCCCTTCTCTGAGCCTCTATTTCCAGATCTGTACAATGGCCATCACAACAATGCACCCTCTTGGAGGCATTATATGAACTCAGTGCCTGGCACACAATAGCCTCTGTTAGCCTGGAAGTCTCTGACAAACAGTGCTGAATGGTGGGGAAGAGGTGGGGCTAGGATTGGTGTTGGGGCATGTGGTGACCCCATCACAAAAAGAAAAATCAGAGCAACTCTCCAAAGCAGGTATGAGCTCTCAGAATGCTTGGTGGTTTGAGCCACTGGAGCAGAGTGGTGGGGTCTTTAATTACCAGACAGGGATTGGTAGATGTGGGACCCCGAGTCTCTAAGTCAAAGTGGCATGTTGTTTATGAACTGCTCAAAGAGGTAGGCAGGGAGAGCTGCACTTAGGAAGGTGGCGAGGGAGTTGTTTGTTTTCAGATGGAGTCTCACTCTGTCGCCCAGGCTGGAGCGCACAATCTTGGCCCACTGCAACCTCCGCTTCCTGGGTTCAAGCGATTCTCCTGCCTCAGCCTCTTGAGTAGCCCAGACTACAGGCGCGTGCCACCACACCTGGCTAATTTTTGTATTTTTCATAGAGACCGGGTTTCACTATGTTGGCCAGGCTGGTCTCTAACTCCTGGCCTTGTGATCCTCCCACCTTGGCCTCCCAAAATGCTGAGATTATAGACATGAACCACCATGCCCAGCCACTAGAGAGTTTTAATGCTAAAAAGGGTGAACTTCAAGGATGGGGTCACAGGGAGCCAGTGAGAGCACCTAGGGAAGACGGAGGAAGGGACTGCTCTGGCCAAGAGGGCTGCAGGCTTTGGGGAGGAGGGGGAGATAGAAGGGGGAAGTACAGCCATTCTTCTAGGGCCAGGGTGACAGGGGAGTGGGGTCACAGGGCCCAGTCCTGAGGACAGTAGAGAGCAGGGTAGGTGTTCAGAACTTCTGTGGTTTTTTTTTTGAGACAGAGTCTCACTCTGTTGTCCTGGCTGGAGTGCAGTGGCGTGATCTCGGCTCACTGCAACCTCTGCTGCCGAGGTTCAAGCAATTCTCCTGTCTCAGTCTCCCAACTAGCTGGGATTGCAGGCACCTGCCATAGTGCCCAGCTAATTTTTTGTAGTTTTTAGTAGAGACAGGGTTTCACCATCTTGGCCAGGCTGGTCTTGAACTGCCGACCTCGTGAATCCACCCGCCTCTACCTCCCAAAGTGCCGGGATTACAGGCTTGAGCCGCCACGCCCGGCCTGGTATTCAGAACGTTTTAACTTTTTGGTAAAGGTGAGATGCGGTGGGAATGAGGCCATGTCTAGGCTGGTGGCCTTGTTTAATGGTGAGGGACTGTCTAGGATGGACAGGGTTCCCTGAGCCCTGTCTCCCATCCAGGCTGCTCTGAAGAGGACCAGTAGAACAGGCTTGGGTTAAGGGAAGCAGAAATTATTCCAAAACCTAAAGTACTCTACAGGGCTTCTGTCATTCTCTCAGAGAGGCAGCTCTGACACTGGGAGAGCACTGGACTTTGAGTCAGAAGACCTAGCATGAGGCCGGGCACAGTGGCTCACGCCTATAATCCCAGCACTATAGGAGGCCAAGGTGGGTGGATCACTTGAGTTCAGGAGTTTGAGACCAGCCTGGCCAACATGGTGAAGCCTCGTCTCTACCGAAAATACAAAAATTAGCCAGGCATGGTGTCACGCACCTGTAATCCCAACTATTCAGGAGGCTGAGGTAGGAGAATCCCTTGAACCCTGGAGGCGGAGATTACAGTGAGCTGAGATAGCACCACTGCATTCCAGCTTGGGCAACAGAGCAAGACTCTGTCTCAAAAAAAAAAATAAATAAAAGGCTGGGTCTGGTGGCTCACACCTGTAATCCCAGCACTTTGGGAGGTCAAGAGATCGAGACTATCCTGGCCAACATGGTGAAATCCCATCTCTACAGAAAATACAAAAATTAGCTGGGCGTGGTGGCGGTTGCCTGTAATCCCAATTACTGGGGAAGCTGAGGCAGGAGAATTGCTTGAACCTGGGAGGCAGAGGTTGCAGTGACCTGAGATCATGCCATTTCACTCCAGCCTATGGACAGATGGAAAAAAAAAAAAAAAGGAAAAGAAAAAAAAAGATGACCCAGCATGAGTTCTGGCCCCCACCCAGCAGCTTTGTGAGCTGGGGCCAAACTCCTCCCCTGCCCTGGCCCATAGGCCAAGTGCAGAAAATCCCTGCGGGATCTGCTACACAGGGCTGTGGTGGGCATCGCTGCAGCGTGTGATCTGGAAAACACCCCAGTCCATTCTGCGACTATATACCCCCAGGGACCAAGGGTCCTGCCTGTGCTGGGACCTTCCTGGCCTCCCCGCCCTCACCTTCCTCTTGCTTCAGGGTCAGATGCTCCTCGGGCCTCTCCTCCCAGTTTTGACACAGCTTTTGGAGGCCGTGCTCTCCCGGCTCCTGCCTGCAGAGGACAGAACCCTAGCCCAGGGCAATATCCAGCTGCCCACCCTGCCAAAAGCTAGGGGAGAGGGCGAGGGAGCCTGCAAGAAGAGGTCCTTGGGGAGGCTTTGGGGAGCCAAGAGAGATCAAGAATGACAAGAAGAAGGAGACCCAGAGCAGGAGTGGGACAGAGGAGAGGGGACTAGAGGGAGACCCTTCAGGGAAGTTACAAAAGAGTCAGAAATGGGAGAGGAGGCGGAGACATGGGAGCTGCGGAGAGGAGACACAGGAGGAGAACTGGAGAGAGGGTGACACACAGGGGAACAGGCAGGTGCAGGGACGGGGACCTGCATCTGGAGCAAGGCTCTGATCTTGGGGCCTTTCAGGAGCGGACGAGTGAGCAGCAGGGGGCTCCTACCGTGCCTTGGCGTAGCTCAGGGTCCTCTCGCTGCTCTGATGCAAGAGTTCCATCCTCCAGCTCAGGTCCAGGGAGGGGGCCAGCAGGACAGGGCAAGGCATGGAGGTGGAGGCCAGGGCTCCCACAGGGGCAGGCACTGGCCCAGGAGCTGGCAGCCGGGCCCATGATGAGCCGCTGGCAGGGGCTGAGGCAGGGGTCTGAGGCAGGCTTGGGGCTGAGGTGGGCACACGGGTCATGGTCCTGGGGGACTTCTGGGCTGTCAGGGACCGAGCCTTCAGGGCTTTCTGATGGGAGGCCTCCACTTCCTCCACCTCCAGCAAGCACTTAATGAAGCCCTGCCGGGGGTTTCCGAGGCTCTGTGTCCCTGCAGCCACTACGGGGTCCTGAAGCTGCTGCTGTGCATGGTCTGGCTCACTCCTCTCTCCAATGTCCCTCACCTCCTGGGGACAGGGGAGGGGATCCGGGAGGCCTCTAGCCAGCCAGAATGTCCCACAAAGCTCCTCCCTGCCATCCCCTCTCCAGAGATCCTCAGACTGCCCCTTACCCTCTGAGCCTTTGGAGGATGTACCCCAAATCTCACATGCACCCCACTGTGCTCCTGCCCCACGTCCTCCTCCCCAACACTTGACTTGCCACCTGCCAGTGCTGTCAGCTGTGAGGTTTTGTTTTTTTTTTTGAGACAGGGTTCTGCTCTGTCACTCAGGCTGGAGTGCAGTGGCGTGATGTCAGCTCATTGTAGCCTTGACCTTGCAGGCTCAAATGAGTGATCCTCCCACCCCAGCCTCCAGAGTAGCTGGGACGACAGCCATGCACTACCACACTGAGCTAATTTTTTTTTTTTTTTTTGAGACTAAATCTTGCTCTGTCACCCAGGCTGGAGTGCAGTGGCGTGATCTTGGCTCACTGCAACCTCCACCTCCTGGGTTCAAGCTATTCTCCTGCCTCAGCCTCCCGAGTAGCTGGGACTACAGGTGCGCACCACCATGCCCAGCTAATTTTTGTATTTTTAGTAGAGATGGTGTTTTGCCCTGTTGGCCAGGCTGGTCTCGAACTCCTGACTTCAGGTTGTCCACCCGAGTCGGCTTCCCAAAGTGCTGGGATTATAGTGTGAGCCACTGTGCCCAGCCTGTTTTTTTTTTGTTTTTGAGACAGAGTCTCGCTCTGTTGCTCAGGCTGAAATGCAGTGGCATGATCTCAACTCACTGCAACCTCCACCTCCCAGGTTCAAGTGATTCTTGTGCCTCAGCCTCCCAAGTAGGTGGGATCACAGGTGTGCACCAACATAGCCCAGCTAATTTTTTTGTATTTTTAGTGGAGACGGGGTTTCGCCACGTTGCTTAGGCTGGTCTTAAAATCCTGGCCTCAAGTGATCTGTCCGCCTCAGCCACTCAAAGTGTTGGGGTTACAGGCATGAACCGCCGCACTGGAACTTAACTGTATTTATTTGTTTACGTATTAATAGTCTAGACTTTCCACCTACTAGGTCACAAGCGCCATTCACCGTGAAGTCCCCAGTTGCACAACCGTGTTTGGTATGTCATCCTCAATAAGTATATTAGCTAAACACCAATTATTTCACTTTTCTCAGTGATGTCTGAGAAGCAAGATAATGTAAGTAAAGCACTTGGACAGAGTAAGTGCTCAGCACACAGTAGGGTTGAATATGATCATAGTTGAGTATTCTGACGCCTAGAAAAGAGACCCAATTTTTCCATGTCAAAGACTCCTTTGATTGTTTTCCCGAATTAAAGGCAAATGCTCAATTTCTGTCAAGCCTAAAACAAACTAGAAAGCAAAAGCCATTTTGGGCTGGGTGCAGTTTCTCAAACCTGTAATCCTAACACTTTGGGACACTGAGGCAGGTGGATCGCCTGAGCTCAGGAGTTTGAGACCAGCCTGGGCAACTTGGTGGAACCCTGTCTCTACAAAAATTACAAAATTAGCCAGGTGTGGTGGCTCGTGCCTGTACTACCAGCTACTTGAAGGGGCTGAGGTGGGAGGATCACTTGAGCCCAGGAGGCAGAGGTTGCAGTGAGCCGAGATCATGCCAGTGCACTCTAGCATGGGTGATGGAATGTGACTCTGTCTCTAAATAAATAAAAGCAGTTCTGGGGCTCCTGGTCCATTGTGATATTGGGGACCGTCACACCCATCCCGTCATCCACCTCTGCCACACATACAGTCACGTGGGTACAGGGGTGCCCAGTCCTCAGTCTCAGCATGCTCTAGTCTATCTTTTATTCCTAGGCCCAGCTTTGCACAAGGTGTTAAGAGGGACTTTGGGCCGGGCGCGGTGGCTCACGCCTGTAATCCCAGCACTTTGGGAGGCTGAGGCGGGTGGATCACGAGGTCAAGAGATCGAGACCATCCTGGTCAACAGGGTGAAACCCCGTCTCTACTAAAAATACAAAAAATTAGCTGGGCATGGTGGCGCGTGCCTGTAATCCCAGCTACTCAGGAGGCTGAGGCAGGAGAATTGCCTGAACCCAGGAGGCGGAGGTTGCGGTGAGCCGAGATCATGCCATTGCACTCCAGCTTGGGTAACAAGAGTGAAACTCCGTCTCAAAAAAAAAAAAAAAAAAAAAAAAA